CCGTAAGAAGCTCAAAGAAAAGCTCCACCAAAAAATCGAGGATCTACAACAGCCGCAAGCCTCGAACCATACAACAACTTCTAGTTCCTCCTGTTCTTCCCCTTGATTTGTAATGATCTTAGGTATAGCGCATTAAATCATATATCCAATGAATTTTGCGCCATAGAAATAATAAAATTATTAAATTATTATACGAAAAAATCCTTAGTCTTTATGCTTTCCACTTTTGCGCGAACAGCCAACAACAATACATAAAACCATCCCCTCTTTCTCACATGAACTCTTCGTTAGATACGGTTTGTTTACGCTCGAGGGACACCAAGATGGCGGATAGTAACCGTTGCTAAGGTATTGGTCACGTGGGTGAAACCCAAGGAGAATGACTCGTTTCGTTCGAGAGCTTGAAAAGAAAGCCAGCTGTGTTTGTAGCACAACAAACTCACGAGGGTCGTTTCTGTTTTCTTTGTTTAGACTATCTTCTACCGCTTTTTGCGCGAACGTAATTCTAATTCAATTTTTTTTATGCGCGGGAGCAATGTGGGCAATCCTGGGCGGGCAAGGTTAGCCCATATTGTCCGCTCGGGTAGCCAATCAGAACACAGGATTCGCTTCATCTTGTCTACGGGCGCTGCGAGCGATATAATAAATGTGCATTATTAACCAAGTTTGTTTGGTCAAGATGGCTGGATATTGGCCTAGTTCTTTTTTGCGTTTTTACGGGCTTTGGAAGTTGGCTTCTTGCACGGTATCAAAGCGAGCATTCCCAAGCGGGCAAGATGTGCCCAACTTGTTCCTTCATGCGTTTCATATTGCCCACGGGTACTGCTAGTGATATAATAACCTCCTTTTATTTGCACAATCTACAAGTATTCGGCAAACTGGCGCTTGTACACTCCATGTAAATCATTTTTAACATATTGACAAAAACATTGCCTCCCGTCATCAATACAGGAAGTCCAATTGATTATTTTGCATGTACGCAGAAATCGTTGCGTTCTTTGTGGATATTATGGTGTTGATCGCATTGTTCTCTACCTGTTTCAGTCGACTGTAAATTTGCTTATTTGACTACTTTATGATTGAAGTCTGACGAACCTGTTATTTAAGTACAGTTTTAACACCACTGTTGGCACGAAATGACACACCTGTGTTCAATGAGGAAAGGTAGCTCGTTTTCATTGCGTTTTTCTGCGTCAGATTACGTTTAACCGGATTAAAGTCGTCACAAATTATGACTGCAGACAGTTAAACATGAAACTGTGTGATATCCGGAGAGAGATGAAAACCATGAATGGGTCTGAAAGTTGAACAATCTGCAAATATTACACCCCTCGCTAAAGCAACTAGGACAACAACAACAACTAGCGAGACAGTGACGCCGCGAAAAAATTAAAAACAGAAAATGTAATGGAAATTGCCTGTTTTCATTGTCACTCAGGGCACAAAAGCATATAACAAAGCCTAGTTAATGGTCCTCTGTAACTTCCTTTTCCCAAAAAAGTTGAAGTTTTAAAAAGGTCACCTACTTTATGGCCGATGCTGAAATCCCATTATTTCTCTATAGTTTAGCTAATTTCAAACGTTAGACCCGTCACCCAATTGAGACCCTCCAGTAAGAGCCTGCAACCAGCGAGATTCACTGTCTTTATTCTCTAAAATTAAAAACATAAGTTTTTAATTTTAAAAAGGTAGCTGCCATGATGTTGTCGTACACCATCTGGTTTTAAATATGATTTATGATTGTAACTTAAAAATCCTCCTTCTAAGCAACTGTTTGGAATAATTTTACGTCTGACGCATTTCCTTGAATAATGAACTCTTGAATAATTGAACACCTCTCCTATTTCTTTGCACGATTACAATAATTCCATAGCTCCAAAAAGAAAACGGCTGGCAATGAGAAGCATTCAATGTTTCAGAGCAGAGGTATTTTTACATACATTTTGAGTTATTT